ACTCTACATATAACACACAGATAAAGACTGAAAGAATGCAAAAATTAAAAATTGATTATAGATTTTTATGTTCTTTTCTGATTTCTGATTATTTTCAAAATTTGATTATATATTTTATCTTTGAAGAAAAACATTTTATTTATAAAACATGATTATATTATACTTCATACTTTTTGGGGAGCAGTATTGGGAACAAAATAAAACCAGAGCTATGACATGATTTAAAAAAAAAAAAGCAGTTAATCCCTAAAACAGAAGACTCAAGGCAATGGTGAAAATATAAAATCCCTAGAACCAGGTATTTAAAACAGGTGATAGATAAGAACTATCAAAGTCTGACTTGGCAAAGTTATGAATCTAAATGGAAAATGTTTCCATAAGTAGGTGACATCAGAGTCCTTCTTAAATACATAGGAATTTGCTATAACGTCCTGAGGTACATTTAAACCATTATACCTGGTACACAGTAAGTATTCAAAAATGGAGATCAGCACTCTAAATGAAACAAGCCAACTTCTGTGGAGAGAAGAGTCACTTACATACTCCCTTATGGAGCATCTAGGGATGGGGGTTAGAAAGGCCATGAAAATAAGGGATCTGTTAGAGATGTGGAAGAGGAAAGTGGGTAAGAAGGGAAACAGACAAGGAGGATGTGATCAAAGTGTATCATATACATATATATACATATATATGTATGTATATATATATATGGAAATGTCATAATAAAGCCTGTTGTATCATATAATACACATTAACAGGAAAAAGCACAAGAAAAATTTAAAATTGTAATGACCTAAGAGTTCTGTTAGGTTCTAAAGCATGGTTAAGGAATAATCTAAATAAACATATCCTTACATGTCCACTGACACTTAACAAGGGCACCAAGAATACACAATGCAAAAAAAGATAGTTGTTGTTGTTTTAACTTAAGGTTTTGGGGAAAACTGAATACCCATATATAAGGACGGAGACAAAAAAGTGAAAAAGGAAGAAAGGAAAAGAAAATTACACCACTTATAAAAATTAACTCAAAGCTGGGCACAGTGGTGCATTCCTTTAATCCCAGCACTCTGGAGGCAGAGGCAGGGGATTTCTGTGAGTTCAGGGCTAGCCTGGTCTATATAATGAGTTCCAGGACAGCCAGAGCTATATAGTGAGACCCTATCTGAAAAAAAAATCAAAACATATCAAAGACTTAAATGGAAGCTGTAAAACTGTAAATCCTAGAATTGTGAGGCTAGAACTGTAATTCCCAGATTACATTATGGCGGTGTGTCAAAGAAAGTGCAGGTAGGAATGAAGAACAGGACACTCATGAACCCTCAGGAGACACATGCATTGCTCTTAGCATTACAGAGAAAAGTAGGGGCAGTACCTCAAAACACAAACACACTAGGTCTGAGTATTTACACAAAGGTCTGAAACCAGTTTGTCAAAAGAGTTATGTGTACTTCCATGCTCACTGTATACTACTCACAGTGCATATATGCACACACACATATACATATGTATATATGTACAAACACATATACATATGTATATGTGCACCCACAGACACATATATACATACATATATATGCACAAGGGAAGATTGCTGTTCTGACTTTAAAAGAAGGAAATCCTATCAGTTTCAACATGATGGCTGGAGGTAGAAAACACAATGCTAAGGAAGTGAGCCGAAGACAAAAAACAACAGAGGAGAACAGAACAGTAGTCAGACAGGTTGTGGGGAAGACTGGGGAGTGGAGCGATGATTGTCAGAAGGAGTGCTAGAAAACTTCAAACAGGAGAAATAGGGGTTTCCCCTCAATTGTACAGCATTAGGAATACACTTACTACTAGTGTGGTGTATGTTTCCAAATCGCCAAGTTTCAGATGTTCCCACCATGAAAAATGAAACAGTGGATGCTAATTTATTTCACACCACAGTCACAAATCATAACATAATTTTATATAGCAATATATAAGATTATAAATTGTCAATTTACAATAATTTATAGAAGAAAACCTCAGAGGAACAGAGATAATAGCATGTTAGTAGAGCACTTTCCCAGTGTGTGCAAGGCCCTGGGTTCTATTCCCAGTACTGCGAGAATACACAAACAAATAGCAACATCATTAGCCAAACAAGGTACCTGAGGTAATTAGTGTTTAAAAAATGAAATCCAAGGTGTGCCCCTCTCTCTCTCTCTCTCTCTCTCTTTCTCTTTGTTTGTGTGTGTGTGTCTGTGTATGTGTGTGTGTGTGAGTCTGTGTATCTGTTAGAAGTTAAGCTGAAGAATATTGGCAGTTCATGGAAGAATTTTAAAATTATGTCTCTTCTAAAACATTTTAGACCTGGGAAATCCTTAACTATATTCTTACTTATTTTCCTTCAATTCTGTATTCTCTGACATATGATGAATTTTTACTGACACTTACATGTTTAAGACTTTCATATTACTTGACCATGTTAGTTTTGTGGATGTTAGTTAGATTTGTCACAATCTATAAATGCATGGCTTTATTTAGTGTTTTCTTCATATATTAATTTTTATAAGAACAGGCATCTTGAAGATTCTCTTCAAATCACCAATATCAAAGGCCTGAAACATAAGTGTTCATAAATATTTACAGAGACACTAAAGATATGATTTTGGTCATGGGAAGCAAAACATGGGAAGATCTAGATGGTCATTTTGCCTTTAGTTTTCTCAGAATCTTTTAAAAATGACCCATTATTTTTAAAGGAATTTTTAGTATCTCACATACAGTAAATCCTCTATAAATGTATCTTTTTGTAAATAAAAAAATCTTAGGTATTACAGAGGGATTAGAATTATAAATATGCCCCTAAAGAGTGAAAGAAATCATGTTAACAAAAAGATAATTTAGTTTAGCAATCTACTGAGGCTGCAATGTGCTGTTTTACATGAATGCCACAACTCTGTTCCCATCTAAAGGTGAAGTAAAAACGAGAGTGAAAAGTCCCTGCTCCAAGGTCATAACTAGAAAGTGTAACAATCGGGATTAGAGTACCAATCTTTCCTTAAATCCAAACCCATGGTTTTGTTTTTAATCTCATGTTGCTTCTACAGGAAACAGAAAAATGAAATACTAGCTTTATCAGTAATATAGTCAATGCATCACATTATCTAGTTAATACCAACCAAGAGCCGGCTTATTTTTCTACTTACATCATTGTAAGAAGAGGAAACATAAACATACATATTTTGATTGAAGTTAAAGTGATATGAGAAATGACAGAAATAGTCACTAACAAAGATGGTTCATAGAAAAGATTTCAATGGGTTTTCATACTCCCTTCCCCCATACTTCTTACTTTGGGGGAAAAGAAACCCTTTGGGCTGGGGGTCAGATTTTGGTTTGAAAAAAGGGTTGAAATGTGCTTTTAAGAGAACAGTAATTTGAAATTTATCCTCAGGATAAGTTTTAGATTTCTTTCCCCTCAGATTTAGAACTCTCAAGTTCAATCTCACCTGTGAGAATGTTCTAAATTTATGTGACATCAGGGGCATTGCGAATAATGGTAGAGCAAAATAAAGATCACACACATCATTTTGTTAGACTGACGATATTACTGGTAAATTGTGACTTTTACTTTCCTTCATAGGGTTTAACAGTGACTTACATTCACCTTTTTTTAAAAAAACATATTCAGTAGTGCTCAAAGAAGATCATATAAAAAGAGAGAGCTATTCGATAGTGCTCTCTCTATTCTCTTGGATTCCACCAACAAAGGATTTTCTTCTGAAGAAAACCATCCTCCCTTAAAAGGAAATGGAAGTACCCGCTTGAGATGGGGAATCTGAGTCTCCAAAACACAACGCTATGAAAGCACTGGAATCAGGTTAGGAATTAGTTATTGCTAAGATGAACTATGGACTACCAAATGGGAATCATCTGTGAGGTTTTAGGCAAATTTCAGGCTGGTCCCAGTTTTTCTCCAAGACCTCGGTATCCACACTTTTTAAAAAGCCACAGGTGGAATTCCTGGGTACAGAGAAGTTTCGCTACAACTGAACAGGAAATCCAGAAACCACAGGGTGGTGGGTGAGTGGTTTGGGAGCCATACATTCGTGTTTACATCCCATTTCTTTCCGTTAACAGCTCTGATTGTGGCCAATCACCCAAGCCTTCGGCTCTCTCAGAGGGAAAAACAAAAACAAAACAACAATAACAACCTGGAATGACATTTTGTTGTTAAAATCAAATACGATTATGCTGTGTGCAGCTTGGGGTTGGGGGGTGATGTGGAAGCAGATGTGTACATATTCACACAGCTTAACGGTGCCCCCCCATGCTAACAGCTTCTCAGGTTCTTTCAGCTCGCAGTCAATGAATGATAGTTTGTGTTCAGTTTTTAGCATAGACAACTCTTGCTGGAATACCTGATCAGCTATTTCTCTAAAGCACTGATTCTCAAGCTTCCTCCCCCTCCATCCCCGCCCCCCTTCTCCCTCTCCTCCCTGGTCCCTGGGCCTTCTTTGTTTACTATATTTTCTTTTCCGTTAAAATTTAATACCACAGGTACGGTGTGCATCTATGTTGTGATCCTCGGAAAGGCCACAAACCCTGTATTATATAAGAACGAACGAACACACACACACACACACACAGACGAGGGCAGGGACACATCATCAATATTGAGAATGCATGTCAGAGGAAAAAGTGACTTGGTCAAGGTCAAGTGACTCATTTACTGGCAGAATTAGGTCTGAATTAGGTCTGATACCAGCTTGTGACTGTCTTGTCTAGTTTATTTGTAATGAAGAACTGTTGCCAATATTTCTAATCAACAGATTTCAACTAAAACCCCCAAGCAAGCATCTAGCTTGCTGGATCGGGCACTTGAGCAAGACAGGGGCGCCTGGTGGCCCTGGTCCCCCGCCCCGCCTCGAGGGATGCGCCTCCAAAACGCCTCCCTGGATAACCCGCTGCGTAAGGACAACCGTCTGGGGACCGCTCGGCGGGCGCCTAACTGGCTGCGGACTCCGAACCTCTTGGCGCGCTTCGCTCTCCGGCTTCGGAGCCCTGGAGCCGGCGGGTCGGTCTCGCACGTCTAGGGCCGGGAGGCGCGGGCGGAGAGGACCGGCCGGCCCAAGGCGCTGCTCGGGTTCCGCGGCGCCGGCCTGCCCGCAGGCCCGCTATCGCCCACCGGCTGCCGGGCCCGGCCTCCCCGCCGCGCCTCTGAGCAGGGGGACTCCCCGCCGGGCGCGCCACACAACGTCTCCCTCTGGCGCGCGCACGGGCCACTCCACAGCCCGGCAGCCGACGACGCCGCGTCGCCGCCGCGGTCTTGCGCGCGCCCGACTCGCCAGCCAATAGCCGGAGCCGCTAGTTTCACGTGACACGAACCAGCCAATGGAGACTCGAGACGGCCCGTGACGCGACCTGACAGCTCCTAAGGTTTTCAAACCTGCGGGAGTGGCGGGGAGGCCGATCTGGGGCTGTGTGGTCGCGCGCCGAGTCTACGGCGTGTGCACGGAAAGCCGGGGGACCAAGGGAGGGCGTGGTTGCCAGCCTGCAGCATGGGGGCACCGACTCCCCAGCAGCCCCGCGCAGAGTCGCAGGTGAGTAAGGAGGAGCGAGGACAGCTCTGAAGCGTCGTTCACAGAACCACGTGTTCCATCGCAGCGCCCAGAGAAGAAGAAAAGCCCATATTATGCATCGAATGTCTTCAGTGTGTACCTTAATATAATTGAACTATTATATTTAGTATTGTCTAATATATTCAATATTGTCTTGCAGTGTGATAGTTTAAATATAAATTTCAGCCCTAGAGTTGTACTAGTAGGGGAAGTTGAATTATGTAGAGGGAGAAAAATGGAGAGCAAGTGCTGTCACAAGAAATGGATCCCGAAGGTATCTGGTGAAACAACTGTGCCTGCAGCGATCCATGTTGCTAATGAAAGTCCCGACTGCCACTCGCTTCTGTAAACATGCTTTAACTGCAGTAGAAATTTCCCCTCGGTTGTCTTGAAAGTACCATCTTCAAATGTCCACTAAGGAAATAATTTAAAGACACCAGCAGTTGAATGACCAAAGCTGAAAACCCATAAATACTATGTGAAACTTTAAGTCTTTCCACTGTAGGGTAGGCTAGACTAATAAATCTGAGAGTGGTGTTTGTTTCTTCTTTGGTCAGTTTTCCATAACACCCAGAGCCGCTTCCTTCTGGTCTCCTGCAGTTCTTAGTTTTTCTTTGTCAAAGCCTTTCCAGCATCTGTACTTCTGGTGACTCCAGGTCTGGAGAAATCACCCAGGAATAGAACTCATGGATAGGAACGAGGCTCCTGTCGTTAATAGTGGCTGATTGGTCTCTGCCCTCTTATAATAGAAACCCCAGGTTCCTAAACCCACAGGCATGCCTTCTCATTAAAGAGTTAGCTCTACCCAGGGATCCAAACATTCTGCTTTGTCACCGTTAAAAATCAGGCATCCTTTCAACTTGTGTCATGGGTCAAAATGGTAGATGGAGCAGCATCTATCATGTCCTTATTTTAATAAAGACCTTTCTAGAAGCCTACCCAACAACTTGATCATATTATAGATCTTACATACTCAGACTCAGTAACATGACCTCCTGTAGTTGAGAAATGTCTTCACTAGGCACATGTCTGTTCTTAAGGAAATCCTGTACCAGAAAGTGAGAGATGGATCCAGATAAGCCTCTAGCAGCTTCTGCTGAATCCATGGTTTCAAACTCTACCAGAAGCCCTGTTATCTCATACAGCTCAGTAGAAATGCAGGACACTTTGCTGGGTAGATTCTGTGCCGCTCTGTGCTAGATGCTTTACATATGTTTTCTATTTTGTCCATGCCATTACTAGCTTTGTGATGATACAAATGACATCAAATATTGTAAATGGTGACAGACTAGCATGGCAGAGGGCCTTTAGGTATACTAAATGAGTGGTCTGGTTTCAATTGGTTGTACAGTGCTTCAAACACACAAATATAAGGAATATAAATCTGTATTCAGTTAACAAAGTTCTCTGTCTAAAGTTAACCAGGATCAACAAACAGTATAAGGAAAAAAATATCACCTTATAGCCCAGTAAGCAAGCCTCATATAAATATACCAATACAAAAAAATTTTCACATTAAATTATCAATTTGGGGTTTGGAAAACAAATATTTTTGTTCAAATAAAAAGTAAGAGCTGATATGGAAAACATGATTTTTAGGGTTGGCATATCTAAAGGGTTTGTTCTTTATGTGTACTGCTGCCTTTTTTTGGTGCTTTTTTTTTTCAATACAGGATTCTGGGTAGAAAGTCATTTTCTCTCAGAATTGTCAAGGTTGTGCTTCATTGTATTTCAGGGATTTAGTGTTGCTTTTTTGAATTATTAGCTTTTTTCCCTTTTAGAAATACTGTCTGTGTAGCTGCATTTGGCCCAGAATTGTCCTAAAACTTGGGATCCTCCTGCATCAGCTTTCTGAGTTTAGAACTATAGATGTGTGCCATGACAACCAGCAATTCTAGCAGTTTACTTTAGCTATCCTTCAATGCCTTCCTTGGAAGCTTTTTAGAATTTTTTTCCCTGCATTTCAAGAATTGCAAGTGTGCATTTGGATAAGTCTTTCCATTCTGAAAATGAATATCAGAAAATAACTGATGACAAAAGCTGGAGACTAATGTCTAAATGAGAATGCACACTGAACAGCCATTATGAAAACCAGTGTTGTGGTTTCTGTTTCTCTGTGGAGCCCTGGCTGTCCTAGAACTAGCTCTGTAGACCAGGCTGGCCTTGAACCCAGAGATCCACCTGCCTCTGCCTTTTAAGTGCTGGGATTAAAGGTGTTCACCACTAGGCCTCACAAGCTAGAACTTTTATATGATCCGTTTATATCACTCCTGGACCTCTCCCCGAAAGATTGTATCCTATTACAAATACTTGTCTATGTCTATTGCTACTGTTTCCACAATAGCATGGGAATATAATAAACGTAGATGCCCATCATAGAAGAATGGGTAACAAAAATGTGGTACATATATACAATGGAATTTTATTCATCTGTAAGGGAAAATAGAATTATGCTATTTTTAGGAAGTATATTAAACTTGGACATATTTTAAGTGAGGTGACCCAGACTTACAAAGACACACAGCACATCTTCTCTTATGTAAATCTTACAACTTTTTGTATATACATATATAGGTGGGAGGGAGGGCAAATGCCAGAAAACTAGAAAGGGGCATATGAGAAGGGGAAATAATACTTCCAGCAGAAAATTACTCTATAAGTCTCAGGAAATGATATCTAAGCTATATTTAGGAAACCCTAAAAGCCGTGGATTGGATTAGCATACTGCTCATGAAAAATCTTGAATTTCTGATTATGTTCTGTTAGAGCTAGTTTAAGTATGTTTAAAGACTAGAGTATGTTTAAGTATGCTTTGGATGTAATTTTAATGCTTTTGATTAGTAATTTTGTACATTTTGCATATTGAAGTATCTTCATTTAGTTTTCCTTTAATTTTGATCTTGCCACCTTTCACTGTTCATTAGTTTTTAAAATGTAAATTGAAATCTTTCTATAAATTGAAATAAAAATACTAAAAATCAAAAAAAAAGAAAGTAAGAGCTGAAATTGACTTGGTGTTTCTTATTATCCAAGTAAGAATAGTGCCTACATTTGAGTTTTTTAATGAGAAACAAGACTGGTTTATGCTTTAATAAACAATGCCTATTATATACTCATGCTACATTGTAACATCAAAATTAGCCTTCCATGTGACAAGTATAGAGATAAAATGAACATGTGGAGATTATTTGTAAATTGGTTGTGTGGATGAGAAGGATCTCAGAGGAAGAAGAGAGATTTGTCAGAGAAGACTTGCTAGGAAATGATAACTGAGCTAAATCTCCATGAAGACTTGAAAGAATCTGTCCAGAAAAACAATGGTTGTCGAGGTACTGAGATGAGTTATTACAAAAGGATAGCATATATGACTGATGGATATAAACAAGAACACAGAATAGCAAACTGAAGAGGCAGACAATATGCTCTCACAACAGTTGTACACTACCCTCCTGGAGAGTTTGTATTCTTTGGCCATTAGTATCCATTCTCTCCCCTACTTTGGTGCTTCTTGTGTGCATTTTTATGTGGCATTATGATGCCTGTGCCTCCAGCCAATGGATGGTAAGTGACCAGGGAGGCAATCTTGTTGTTTGTCAAACATAAGGGAAAACATGGGATAGAAGATAAGAACTGTATAAATATGCTGTTGTGTAGCAGCAGTTTCTTACAAATTGAAGCATCCTAGAGGGAGGCTCATTAAGACTCAGGGAGTAAACAAACTTCTAAGATCTAGAAAGTAAATAACTGAAAATTCTTAAGAAGTTCCTGAAACTTACAGGACCCACAAGGGTCATCCCACGTCAAGATCTAGATCGAAAGCTTGTGTCTTCCAGTTTCAAGATCTGGATCACTGGTATGCCTTCCATTTCTGGATTATAGTTCTTTGCAGATATAGTCACATTGACAACTGAGAATAATCATCACAATCCATTTCATGTCAACTTGACACACAATCATACTTCCTTATGTCCAAATGAAAACAATAACTAGGCCATAATAATGTCTAACATGATATAACTATCCCTCATACAACTACAAACACATAGTAAATTTAGAATAGATGACAATGTCCCTTTTATACTATACTTTTCACAAAATGGAAGCTTAGCTGACCTTTGCCTAAAGGTCACCACTCCCTTAATGCATTTATTTCCTTGAACACCTGATTTAGCTCTACTCCACTTCCTAGTGCCCCTTTAATACTTGACCCATACATTTTGTATTTTTCCTATCTAAGCTTGCTACACTGGATCAATATATTCTTCATAAGAGTAAACCATAGGACAGAGTCTATGCTAGGCTGTTTTGAGATTTCCTTCCTCAATGCAATTAGTCTAAATCTCTTTACTTTAACCTCGGGCACACTCTTCAAACAATGTCAAAAGGCAGCCACAGTCTTCATCAAAATATTACAATAGTGATCTCTAGGAAATATGGTAAAACTCTTCTCTGAAACCTCTTGAGCCAGGCCCACACAGTTCAACTCACCCTCAGCAACAGTGTTTTCCATA